AAGATAATACATATGTCTTATCTGATCAAATTTGCATTTTTGGGGGGGATATATTTTGCTGGAAAGCATATATGCTTATTGAAGAAAGAAATTTCTGAGTGTGTGGCGTTTTGACATGTAATGATGAATTAGCATATGGACAAGCCATGTTTTATATCATTTTTTCTCAACTAAAAATCTTATTCTAATAAGTTTGTAAATGTATTATTTAATAATTAAATAAGTAGAAATTGAATAAATTGACAAACAATTCATTTTTAAAGAAAGGATACGTATTGGGCAATACACTACATATTAATTGATGTGATATAATGTACATTTATCCACAATATCGCATGTTGTGTTATAGTCAGTGATTTATCGGTGTTAAGTGAATTTGAATCTGAAAATTTGGGATCAAAATGGCGTTTTTACGGAAGTACGCCATGTTGTGACGTTGTAGAGAGCCCCCTTAACTCACTTGCGTAGTTGACATTGCTTATTTTTGCATGAAATTTTGTTTTCTTTGAAAGACATTGTTGAAATTGAAGAGATTATTTATGTTATGCTTTTATAAAAAGTTGATGATCTAAAAATATTTGATTTATATCTAGTTATATACATGTATATTATGTGTTTGCTTTGTGCGTTTTATAAATCAAATAGTCACATTGTATATTTTATACGTTGCAGGTGCAAAAGTTCAAATGCACACTGTGTGATGGGCGGGAATTCGCCCACCAACACCAGGCTGAACAGCACAACATCACGACGACACATTCGGGATTCGGTTTCCAGTGTTCTGTATGCAAATATATACTATTCCGACGTAATCAGAAACATAACTGCGAGGGCTATACATTATCCGTAAAGAAATCCACCATGACCTTCAATGAAGCTGATAAGAAAGAGTTTGCGGAATTTCAAAGAAACCGATACAGGTTCGTCGAACCATTCATGAAGAAAATATCCCCTATGTATATGTACAAGGGATATACGGGGAAAAGGACCATCAGAGTTAGCCACAATGAACCCCTATAGAAGCAGCAAAAACTGCCGGAGAAGCAACATAACGTGTCTAAACCAACTGGTGTGACAAGCAGAACTGTTTTAATAAAGCCAACAGAAACTACACTTCCATCGGTCGAAGTGCCAGCTGTAACACCTATTCCACAGACCAAAGCTCAATCAACACCAGCTGAAACACAAGGTCCACAATTAGATAGGACAGTTAACAGGAGGCTATTCGACGATACGTCATCTTCATCGTCCTCCAGCAGCACTTCCTCCAACAGATCGTCAGCGAATTCATTAGAAAGTCCTGACATCTCAGTGCATGCGGTGGAACCGAAAGTTTCGAAGTACACTGCAGTTCTGGAGTACCAGGTGGCCGACGTTACAACCCCGCAATATAACCCAACAGATAAGAGAAAAATAATGATGAAGGGACTGGAAATACAGCAAAAGGAACGGGTAGTGTTAAATGTCGAGGGAAGGCGGTTTGAGACTAGCAGACAGACCATGCAGTCAGACCCGAATGGTGGCCAAGGACATTTGCTCCACTAACTGTGACACCAAAACATTTTACCTAGACAGGAACCCTCGCTATTTTGACTGTATACTAGACTACTTGAGATCGTCAACTTACAATCCCAAAGTCCCCCCGAATGATAAGTGCATTCTCAGGCAGATCCATGTAGAGGCAACATATTACGGCTTAACCGGGCTTGTTCATGCCGTCGAGGAAAGAGCCAAGGGAAAGGATGTTCCTCTTCAGCCAGGCTTTGGGATGACTAACTGTAGTCATTGTATTCTTCCATGTACACATGCTTCTTTAATTACAAGTGTATTCATTGTTGTTGCACTCATAACTGTTAATGTGTTCATTTAAATGTACATAAGTTCCATATTTATAACATTGGTCATTTGTTTAAAAATAAAAAAAAATCTAATAGTTTCTGTGAATTGGTTGTATAAATTCACAAAAGATGAAATTTTTGATGATTTAAAAATGTTTGCGTTACCAAATTCATATATTTTGATAAGTATAGGATTCTTGCATCTTGCTGAATGGACATTGATGTCATTGTAAAAACTGTACATGTTGATTTATTTACAATGATTGACATAAATTTCTGCACAAATGAAATTGTTGAACTTACATTATGACTTCTCTTTCTTTTTGTACCTGTCATGATATTGGGAGCTCTTCAGAAAACGAGTATCCTAAAATAAATATGGATCAGTAATGACAAGATTGACTTATTACGTATGGGCAATTCACAAAACGTATGAACAATGTAAATATGAATTTTAACTGCGCAGTTGTTGTTTTCACGAAAATGCTGCAAAACAATTAAAAAATTACTACATCTACGGTCAGATCAAATGAAAAATATTATGAATGTTCACGTTTTACTTACTGAAAGTTGCATCTCATCCATTTTTACGAGTATTTTTGGACGACATTGTGAAAACTCAGTGGCGCTTCTTTTCTCTGCACGAGGATTTGACGTCACACCTTTTGATAAGTCGTACAAAGAGATGTCACGAAATCTTCTTTCATTTTAGAAATACGACAAGTGCGTCGTGTTTATTGAAATTTGAGCAGTGTACTCTATTGGATACCGTAGAAAAAAAATTAATGCGAGCAATTTTTCATAGTTTAGAATGATGGAATTATTTCAATCTTTTCAAAGAAATTGTTTCCTAGAATTAATTCTGTCTGTAACCCGATGAAAACCCGTTGATCCGAAAGAATACCCGATGATCCGAAAGTTCATGCACCATAAGCGCAGTATTTAAAAAAAAGTTCATGAAAAAACTAATTTACATAAACTTTATAGAAACATCGTACAAAAAAAAAATAAATAAATCAGCGGATTGAGTTAAGGGACTTTGTTTCATTAAATTGATTTATTAGATTTTTTATTTAAATTCATGGAAGGAAATGATTTTTTTGAATCCATAAATTGTACAATTTATATTTAATTGATTTAGAAGAAATCTTTTATGAGTGTACATGTAGGTCACACAAGGTAAGAGCAGAATTTCGAAAATAGATACTGTTTGACACAAGGTGAGAGAGCAGTTCAGGTATGTTGACGGTGAACACCCACGGGTCGAATTGTCATTTAGGGGGATAGGGGAGAAGCTAGGGGGAGGGGTGTTGACCGCACAGGAAGGCAGTGTGCTGATTAGAGAGGTACACATACGTGTCAGTTTTCTGGCAAGGAAAGCTCTTCGATTTGACTCTCAGGTGCATTATATTTTCAGTTTATTTACACGCCGAAAAGGTAAGCTGTTACAAGTCATCATGTTTTTTCCTGTTTATTATTTTTAGATTATCTAATGCCAGATAAAATTAATGAAAAACTTCTATTTTATATTAACTGCCATGGGTGATAAATCGGGTAGAGCATTGTCATGCATTACATTTTATAATTTTGATTATTTTTTTTTTTTAGACATATTAAGGAATTAAACTAATTAGATAGAGATAAAAATAAATTTAAAAAATTGAGTCTTTACGGACAAAATCAGTGTCAAAGTTATCTGGATCAATGTCTTAAATACTTCGTTATTATTTTTTTTTTAATCAAGATTTTAAATAATTATGCATACATACAGATCAGAGGGGAAAACCATTCCTAATAGAACCAGACGATTGATCGGGAGAAAATGAATATTGCATTTTAAAAAAGATACATATCAATCCCCTGCTAATTATTATTATTTATTTTTTTTGGAGGGGGGGGGGGGTACGTGTACACAGTGACTTTCCGAAACTCATCCTTTAGTGACTCTGACTAATTCAAGGAAATCTTATTAATATTTAATTTTGACCAAAAAAAAAATCATACAATTCGATGAATAATAATAAAAAAAAAACAACAAAAAAAACAGGGAATCGATTATTTCATTTTCAAAAATGAATTTTGATTCTCCGTTTGACTATGATTATTTTCTTAAATTAATTTATTATTAATTATATTATTTATATATTTATCCTTTTCCATCCACGCTTTAATATTCCTTTTAATGATGAAAAACTAAGGGATAAAACTTTCTTTTCTCTTTCTTGGTAAAAATAATCTTATTTTAGTTAACAAAACGAAAAAGAAACTCGGAACACCTCGGTATTTTCTTCCTGTAGTAAAGAAAAAAGCGAGGGTTTCCGAATATACACGATAAACGCAAAACACGATACACGATAGAACCTGATAAACGATCTACACGATAAACGGAAAACACGATACGATAGGATACGATAGGATACACGAACGATACGACAGGATACACGCACGATAGGACACGATAGATTTGTAAAGAATAACGATGCGGGTACTGTAATTAGGTAAGTTTCGGTGAAGTAATAAATATGCATATGTCTATCGTCCCGGAACAGCATCGTTACGTCAATTAACGTTACGTTAGCCGCAGATGGTTTCATGTGAAACGATCGGGAAGCTTTTAATACTCTTCCTTCTTTGTTATTACATATAACATTACAAAAATCAAATAGTCTCTATTCTTAAACTATTCTTTAAAAATGTATGCTGTTGCTACCCCAGTGAAAAATGTTCATTTGTGGGAAAGGATGACTTAGAATCATGCAGTGCCGATTTATGCAACGCGGGTTTAATACCGCCCCTGCGAGACGATCATGAATAATTCATGAATTTCCTTGAATTTTTCATGAATTTTATTCATGAAATGTTCATGAAATGTTCATGAAGATCCTATGAACTTATTATTGGACATTTTCAAATCATGAATTTTTATTCATGGAGAAAAATTGATGAATATTCATGAATATTTTTTTTCATGGATAATTCATGAAGAGTCATATTCATGAAGATTCATCATTTCAAGAATGTCCAATAATAAGTTCATTGGATCTTCATGAACTGTTCATGAATAATTTGATGATTTTTTTCAGGAATGTTCATGAATAAATAAAATTCATGATCCATTAGCATTCATGAATATTCTTGCTTATTTGTAAACAAAAAATGCAATATTATTATTCATGTTTATTCATGAAAATGCATGAAGTCATGCTAAAAAAGTAACAGTAGATGATTTATAATACAGCATCTTGAAAGATTTCACAGAAATGTTCTTTGTTTTCCAACCATGGCAACACAATCTTTGTTAAAAAACTTAAAATAGACAATTTTGATACATTAAACCATTATAAGTAAATGAGTAATGTAGTTCATTCCTGGTAAAAGTATAAAAAATTTCAATTCAAATGCAACTCTTTGTAGAATGCTTATCCTTACTTGGTCAAAAGGAGAGGGCGATCCTTCCTCAGCATGTTTCAGATTGTGTTTTAATGCCAGAAATTGAACAGTTTTTAATCCCAGTCTAGGAGAAAAGTTTGTTCAGCACCAGGGTAACAGTTTTCAGTGCTTTCAAGCAGTTCGAGCAGAGATGGTCAATTCAAAATTATTTATTGTCTCTCCATGTGGAATTTCCATAATTTCATCATTTGGATCCTTTGATTGAATATCATTCATATTTTCATTTCTTTTTTTCTTTCTTTTTCAAGTGCTCAGATTTTTGTGCAGCCAGAGTTTCTTGTCTTCTGCTCATCAACATTTGTGAACTGCTTCTCTTTTTCCTTCAAAAAGAAAGATTTTCTGAAAGTACCCATGATTGTAAAACATAAGACTTTTTTGTATTTTCTTGCATTTTAGTTTCATTTGATTTTGCATCAGAGACACTTCCGAATTAAATCATTCTGAGTAGAATTTAAGTCTATTTTCTTGGACCGTCATTTTGTAGATCAATCAGGCCTATGAATGTTTTGAGTCTCAGTCTATAATTAATGTATGTTATATGGTTGGATCCAAACTCTAAGCACAGTTAGACAAAAACTGCATTAAAAAAAGAGACATATTGATTTATCATAATGTACTTTAATTAGTTGTTATTTTACAAATAGACAGTAACATTTACAGACAGATTTCTGACTCAGTGATTGCCTACATTTTTGTCACTCACCAGTTATGAAGTAGATCGATCCTATATATAGTCTTCCTTCTTCATATTCTGTTATTTTCTTAAAAAGTTGACAAAGATCAGTGACTGTACTGTTTATTGGACACACCTCGTGAGAGGGTGAAAAACTATAAATTACAAAAGCATAATAAGAATTTGACAAAATATCAAAATCATAAGCAATCATACAAAATTAAATGCGTAACTTTAACATGTGAGCTGAACAGGCCTATGCCTATCGCATGCTGGAAATGCGCGGTTTTACAAAACATTGTAGTTGCATAATTTAAACATGATAAAATATATTCCATAATACTGTTAGATACAGATGATCAAGTTAGATATAAATTCAAGTAAACCAATATAAAACTTACTCCTTAGGGTGGCCAACATCACCAAACTTAACAGTCAAAACGCCAGGCAAACCGCATGGCTACCATAATTAGTATAAACAGAATATTGAACCCGATCGAAATAAAATTATGCAATACGAAAACGGCACAGTGACTATGTAAATAATAGATCACAAATACTGATTCTTCCACTCTACAAATTCCCACTTCCAACGTCTCGCGCGTTTTCAAGTTTGCGCCTATTCAAAAATGTACGGTAGAGCTAAGAAATACGTTAGTTTCGAATTTCCAAGATTTCTGTTTAAAAAAAAATACAAACACTATCTGAATAATTTTTCACTGAAAATACAATTTTTCATATCAAACTAAGTTTAATCAATGAAGAATTCGAATTTTTTACGTCATAAATTTTACATGTATTGACTTTTAGTTTCGCATAGCAAGTATGGCGGCCCCCTATGACATGATAATAACAATCTCACGCCCTCAGACAGAATATTCTGAGCTTTGAAAACGCATAGAATTAAAACTACAAAATACGAATGTGGATTATGTCATAGATACTTTACAACCATGCAGTCTGTACTCTATCATTTACGCACGAAGCAAGGGAAACTTGACATTTTAACTGCACCAAAATTGAGATGTATATAGCGTTTCGATCGAGGAATAATATGGTACAGTACAGACAAGTTATATAATTTTTTAGTTGTTTAAATATATATAAAACGTTTTTTACGAAGCTCACAAAGTTCTTTTTCCAGAATGTTTCATTTTCCAACAGCTTGTTAAAAGTTTGATGTTAGAGAAAATCCGGTCGAACAAAGTTGTGTGATGAAAAACGACATTAATTAAAGCACATTATGATGAATATAACAGTTTATTTTAAATTATGAAGAAACACAAGTAATGAATTTGAAAAAAAATGCTGTCAATGGTGATGCAGTACGTGTTTGTTTAATTAAAATCAAATAAAAACACGAAATGTTTAGAGATTTCATGATTTATTTTTTCAGATGGTGAAAGAATGTTAATAAATATAAATTATACCAGGGGCTTGTTCAACAATTGCATCTGCATGCAAAAGTTGTATTATGAGAGTATTGAGTGTTTTCTGTCAATCATTTTTGTCAATTATTTTAGTCTTCATGAAAATTCATGAACATTCATAATACCTTGAACTCTACATTTTCTCTGTCTTTAAAATGAAAATTTCCAATATTCATATATATTCATCATTTGTTCATGAACTACATTTTATGAATATATTCATGAATAAAGTTCATGAACCATCTTTATGAACCAGTCATGAACACATCATGAATGTTCATGAACGATTCATGAAAGTTCCTGAAATCATGAATTTCACCTCGCAGGGGTGTAACGATATCAATAATGTATGTAATAACTCATGGTCGTCCAGATCTTTTAATTTTACTCTGGTTAAATTAATTGTAAAGAAAATGTATGCCAATGAAAAAACAAACCCTAACACATTATTTTTTCTTGTTGTTATTTTTTTAGCAGGTCGTTCAGTCTTGAAAAGAGTTCTACATTGCGCTACACAAAATTTTAGGTATGCTGGCTGCTCCGCCCTTGACGTCAAAATCCATTTTGTCCTTGTTAGCAGATTTCTCTACCGCGCTTAATTTTTTTTATGATCTCCGTATTTCTGATCAAAATTCTATCAAAGTTGCACAACACGAATTTGAAAAAAAGCTGAAAAATTATACACTTAAACTGAATTATTTTCACTCTCATTATGGATCAACGAAGAGTTAGAATTTTGGTGTTACATATTTCCGCGACTGCTCCGGGTACCCCTACTATAGTCACATTTATATACCATTGTAAAGAAAATATTTAATATTTGTAAAATATTTCTTGCTTATATTAATTTTTAGTGTATGTCAAACGTATATATGCAAATTTTCACCGAAAGACGTTCATTAGAAAGCAAAATATTCACAATGTCTCAATAATTTCCGAACAGCCCTCGTATAATTTACATTAACTATAGCGTACACGCCGAGTTTAAGAGAAATCTACCTTCCAGGTATTTTTAAGGGACCGTCTCAAAATACAGGTACATTTACTATAGAGTGTATATAGAAAATTTCCAATTCTAGCACTTAAAAGAAAATTATACAAATACTACGATAGACTTTTTGTTCAAACTATAATATATGATAAGTAATACTATATTGTGCATTATATGTAAGACACACAAAATTCTACACTCTTGTTACCAGAGGGAGCATCTCAAAAGGCCAAACATTAACGAATTCTCCTTTTTTCTATAGAGTACTACATGTACAAAATATGAAAGTCACAAATGATTTATATGAAATTAGGCCTATACTAAAAATAATGGAGAAATTCTCAGATGTCTATGTTTTAAATTTCATGAGAGTATGTTATTACTTTTTTCTTTAATAACATCTTGATTACCCCTTCCCTTAAGAGCTTCAGTTTATCATAACGTCAAAAGCACACTATATCGACGTCAACCTACCTATCAGCTGCGCAGTAGGTTTAAAAATTCAGTTATATAACATTGTAATTACATTTTTAAAACTGTAATTTCTTAATTTTGTTTAATGTTATTAAGTGAAAAAAGTTGCTTTACAATGTAAAAAAGTAAAAACGCTTCCATTTTATTATGCTATGCGAAAAATTGCGCAATGAAAACCCCAGTCGGCCCCCTTATTTATATACAATACGTTTGCATTTACACGGAACAGTCATAAAGTGGAGGGGGATGTTGATCTTAATTTTGTTTCAAACAGAACTTTTTACTAGATCTATATAAGATAATTTTAAAAATCCCATTCCCCAACACATATATGAAATAGGATTTTCGAGTTTGGAGGTAAGATGATTATTTTTCTTTCGAAGCCTTCGTCTACTTTTATGACCGGCAAACAGGCAAAATAATTACTTAGTATAATAAATACTTGACGTATCCATGGTATCGTTGCAAGAAATATCAAAAAACATAACACGTACTGAATATAAATAATTAACATTTCAACTGCACAGAATTGAATACCTTGGTCAATTTATTGATGTCAGTTTAAATATTTAAATGAATACAAGGATTGATGAATAGCTAAAATAATTACAAAATAAGAAAAAATAAATAATTACAAAATAAATGTGAAAATCCCAATTTTAGGAAAAGATTTTTAGAAGATTATCAACTGATAATTTTCCAACACGGTAATGGTTAATATGGCCATTTTGAAATGCACATTTCTGCAAAAAATTGCAGATATGTACATGATGTATAGGAAACTATATTTTTTTTACGATATTTTTTTTTAAAAGCATGAAAAGATCTGGGGCGGAATTCATAAAACTTCTAAAATTTTTCTTAAAAGTTGTTCTTAAGTACTAAAAAAATTCTTAGTTAAGTAAAATTCTTAAATATTAATTCATATAACTTCTAAGCACAATTCTTAACAAAGTTTAACGCTAAGAAAATTAGCATACTTAAGTACAATCACCATAGCAACGCATAAAAATTCCCGAACAAAAAAGTGCGCTCTTATGTGAAGGAGGTAAATTATGTTCAAATCGTATACAGACGACATGGCCGCGATGGCGACTGAGGAGAAGCAGAGGAAAAAGAGGAATCCAAATTGGACGCAGGAAGAATGTTTGTTACTTGTAACATTAGTAAATGAAAATAAAGATATACTCCGTTCAAAGCTAGGACCAAGTGTAACATCAAAACTGAAGAAAGAAACATGGGAGAAGGTGACAGTTCAGCTGAACGCATCCAGTAGTACTCCGAGGACAACTTCGGAAGTTGAGAAGAAATTGCACAACATATTATCAACATCAAAGACTGAAATTTCTTCTTACAGGAAGGAAACAACTGCCACAGGTAACAATAATAAAATTTATACATGATTAAGCCCATGCGACAAGCTCATATCAGCTGCAGATAGACATGTGTACTAATTAAGAAAGCGGTGTGCATTGAATCAAAGGATTCGGCAATTTTGTCAATAAATAGAAATATATGGTAAACAGGCAAAGCTTGCTGGTAGAATTTATGCCTGTTTACCTTTATTTTCTATTTATTGAACAATTTGCAGAACCCGAATTTCTTCCGTTCGGACACGTTAGTCTATGAGCTCTGTACGCAATTAAATCTAGTCATGACCATGGTTCTGAGCACTAGGCCTATAACAATAAGTTATATTTGTTGGACTAATAGACATACAATAATTGCTGTATCTGGAAATGAAACGGGGGCGTGACGAGTGCCCGCAGGGCACGAGGTCACGACCCCGTTTCATTTCCAGATACAGCAATTATTGTATGTCTATTGGTCCAGCAAATGTTTTGTGGCACGCCTACTTTCACGAGCTTCAGTGGCATTTTTCGCGCTACAATTTAGACTGGGATCGAATCAAGCTGAACGATGGACGTAGATTTTTTGGATAATGACTTCAAAGTTGAAGAAATTGACGACATGATATTGTCTCAAGTTTGCGACGTAGATTTTTTGGATAATGACTTCAAAGTTGAGGAAATAGACGACCTGACATTATCTCAAGTTTGCGACGAAATGGAAGCTTTCGACGGATTACAGAACATGAGCCTTACACAGACGCTTGCCGAGTACGACACAGGGTTGGAGCATGGTGAATTTAAGCTTGAATATGACTTTTTGAGAGAAAATGAAAATAGTTCGAATTTGCTGACCACATCAGGTGATCGTTTTGCGGCCCCAGTGACGGAGAGTGAACTGAAATCTCTAATTGAAAGCCAGGAAAACATTAACACTAAACAAAACACTAGATGGGCGGTCAACGTTTTTGAGAAATGGCGAACCGGCAGATCCGAAACTATTCCAGAACTTCAATTCCAGGGCAGCGAGGAAATGAATTACTGGTTACAACGTTTTATAGTAGAAGCAAGACGGCAGGATGGTAAGGACTACCCCCCTAAGAGCCTGTACTTGATTTCATGTGGACTACTTCGTTTTTTGCGAGACAAAGGTGTGTACGATAAAAACTTTTTAGACGAAAAAAACACAACTTTCATTGAATTTCGGAAAGTTCTAGATGCAAAATTGAAGTCGCTGATTGAAAAAGGCATAGGGTGTACTACGAAGCAGGCCGATCCTATTTTACCAGAAGATGAGGCCAAGTTGTGGGATGCTGGAGTGTTTGGAAAGAAAAATGCAGAACAACTTCAGAAAACGATTTTCTTTTACGCATGTAAAATCTTTGGTCTGCGCGGATGTGACGAACATCATAACCTAGCATGTGAACAGTTTACTATTGGATCAGATAAGCTGGGAAAATTTATTGAGTTTACGGGTCGAAAAACCAAAACGTACAAAGGTGGACTCGGACAGCTAAATGTGTGCAACAAGACCATTAAACATCACTGCCAGTCCGGTAAGAGAATCTCTATCTCTCTCTTTCTCTCACTTTTTGTCTCTCTCTCTCTCTCTCTCTCTGTGAGGATGTACAATTACTCGTTAAAATTTTCTTGTAGGGGAGAGATGCATTGCTGACTATTTTGATCTATATCTGGATTCCCTTGGACGTCAAGGAGCATTCTATCGAAGACCTCTGCCCGCAGCATCTGAGGTGCCAATTCGATACGGAAATCAGGTCGTGGGAATTAACAAGCTGAAAAACTTAATGCGAATCATTTGCACGGAAGGTGGTTTACAGGGTAATTATTCGAATCATAGCGGCAAACGTACTTGTGCGACCCAGCTATATATGTCTGGTGTTGCGGAGCAGCAGATAATGGATCGGACTGGTCATCGTTCTCAAGCAGGTGTCCGTAAATACAAAAGATCCAGTGTGCAAATGGAAGCTAATGTGTCAAAGATCTTGGATCCGCCCAAGGAGTGTACCGAGAATTCCACTCCGATGAATCCTCCAGATGGATGCGCTCCAGATATTTCAGACAAGTGCCCCGCTATTCCACTGACTGCAGCAAACGTCCAGGGTGAGGAGGAACCTCAGAGCAAGAGATTCAAACCGAACAGATTCCCGTTTGGAGAATTTAAAAATTGTAACATTACATTTCAGTTTTAAAGTGAAATTTTCACAAAGGTCAATTACTGGCCAGATAGATTGTTAAATTACTCAAACCCATTTTTTTTAGAATTGAGGTTTTTTGTATTTCTTTGTTTTCAACTTGCTTGTAAGAATTGTACAAGGACATCAAATTTAATTGAAAGGTGTTTTTTGGAGAGAAAAAAAAACTTTACAATGGTTGATTAAAGGATAAATTTTGTGAGGATTTGATTTCTTTTCTTACTTTACAATAATTCTAAAATTATTGTACGGTACAATTACCACGCCCCCTTTGATACAGTGCAATAACTTGCAGTTTCTAAAGTTATTGTACGATGGTAGGCCACGCCTACCTGGGAATAGAACGGGTATTGGAAATTACAGTACACTAGTCATCAAAGAAAATACGCCGCATAAGTGCCACAAGCTTATTTATGCAGAGATCTGTCAAGCCTTGAAATATTTACTGCTACATGTATCTGATTTTTCTTTCTTCATATCTTTCACTCATCTTTCTTCAGATAATTGTGTTTTTTAATCTAAATACATGTGTTTATATGTTGATTTAATTTGAATACACAATTCAAGAAGATTTTTAGGCATAGTGCTGATAAGTTATTACATAAACTGCAAAACTGAATTTAACTGTATCTTTCATATCTATAATATATTTGAAATAAACATATTTTTTACAAATAGGAATTTGACATTTAATTTCCCAATTGTATATTATAATACAAATTTAATTCTTCACAGATGTATACAGATTCGCTTAATATCAATTTCTGTATTATGTATAGGTGGAGGACCTCCCTCAAAACCTTTAAGTGCTATAGGGGAGACAGTACAAATGGTGCTTGGGGGAGAATAACTCCATTATAAGTGGGATCGACGGAGGCATAGACTCATCACACATTCTTCACCTCCTGACAGATGAAAATGTTTGGTAAATAAAAGTAATGTTCTTCAGTTTATTTACATTATTTACTCAATTATAAATATTCAACTTTGTGGGAGAAATTAAAAATTTTAATCTTTATGGACTTCTCAATTGATAAAATCATTTGTTTTAAACTCAGCTAGGCCTTAGCAAAAATGTTTGTTTTTGCATTCAGGCTAAAATATTATATGGTAATGATATTTATGAGGAAATGTTTATGCTTTAGAAGCAATTATCGTGTCTCCAATGGACATGAGACTTTTCTTTAAAAAAAATATACACCATGCATATTTATAAAAGTTGATTGTCTTTCTATTGTTTCAGTTCTATTCAGTTTGCGCAAGATGCAAGTACCAGCAATGCAGCATCAGCATCAACTAGCATTTTACCACTGTCCGTAGAGTTGTCATCACCTGCTCCTACACTGACGTGCCCAGAGCCCGTGATTACCCAGAGCCTGAGGTCCCCATTGTTGCCTCACACAATATCCAGGGCACCAGTAACGTCAAGAAAGACACCTCAAAGCACACAAGATCTAATTGGGGAGCTGACTGTTAAAAAGCTAAAATTAGAGATACATTATGTAGAATATTTTGAATTGAAAGTAAAGACCCTCAAGCGTCAACTGGAGGAATGAAATTTTTGATAGTTTAATACATGTTGAAACAAAGAGGGAATACCAAACCAAAATTTTATATAAATGATTATTTATTAAAGTATCTGGTTTGATTAATTCAGTTTTATTTTAATCTGAATATGTTCAAATTTGATAATTAAGAATTTTCATTAAATTCAAAATGTCATTTATACAATTTTCTTTAAAAAACATTATTTTTATAGCATAGATTTTCCTTCTATTATATTTTGTCAAGATTTTTCGCTCACCTGAGCCGAGGGCTCAAGTGAGCTTTTCTGGTCTCATTTTGTCTGTAGTCTGTCCATCCGTCCGTCTGTAAACTTTTTACATTTTCAACTTCTTTTCAAAAACCACTGGGCTTATTTTAACTAAACTTGGTACAAAGCATCAGTGGGTGATGGGAAGTATAAATTATTCAAATAAAGGGCCAAGTCCCCTCACAAGGGGGAGATAATAAAGAATAGACAAAAAGGGTGGGGTCATTAAAAAATCTTTCTTCTCAAGAACCAGTCGGCCAGAATAACTGAAACTTATGTGTAAGCATTCTGGGGTAGTGTAGATTCTAAATTGTTAAAGTCATGACCCCGGGGTTAGGGCGGGGCCACAATAGGGAATCCAAATTTTATATAGAAATATATAGGAAAAATCTTCTCAAGAACCAAGTTGGCCAGGAAAGCTGAAACTTAAGTAGAAGGATCCTGGGGTAGTGTAGATTCTAAATTGTTAAAATCAAGACGGGGTAGGGGTGGTAGGAGGGAGGGGGTGGGGTAGAGGGCCACAATAGATATAAGAAGAGGGGAAATCTGGTAAAGAACTGCATCACCAGTTACTCAGGTGAGCAATGTGGCCCATGGGCCTTTTGTTTTTCTTTTCATGAATAAAAAAAATGTATATTATCAAGTATTTTCTTTTAAATTTCTAAATATATATAAATATAAAAAAGAAATAATTGTCTAAATATGTATATTTCTCATTTTTTTGAATTCAATTGTTACATTTATATACATTCATTAACAGCCAATTTTAAGCTCTAAAATGTCATTTGTCAATTTTTTTATTTGAAAAAATATAGAAAAAGCAAGAACTCATACAGGTATTTCAGCCATGAAAATCTCTCAAAACAAGATATTTTCAAGATCCAACGATTAAATTTTGATATGGTATTCCTTTAAAGACATTTTACTTGCAAACTGAAATTGCCAAAATATAAAGAAAAGCTTGTGTGTCAGATTTTGAATGATATTTATTGAGATACATTAATGTTTATCTGACCTTGATTAAGTGAATATGAGCTGAATTATTATAATTACATGTTAAATTTTGTTCATGAATATTAAATCTTAATTGTTGACTTTGAAACGTTTGTTTATTTTTAATGTCAGAAGTGAGTTGCAGCAAACTGCTGCCTGTACAATATGCCATTAATGTTGTTGCCTCTAGCAGCACCATCATTTCTTGCTTGCACATGATGACCCTGAGCAGTATCATCTCCACTATCTTCATCATCACTGGTATCATTGTTGTCATCATCATCAGTAATTGGAATTTGTCGATCTTTACAAATATTATGGAGGACTGCGCATGCCATCACAACTTGACATGCCTTCTGAGGCGACATTCTTATCTCCCCATGCAGAACGTAAAAGCGGCGTTTCAACAGTGCTCCTAGTCCTTTTGTGTGCACTGTAAATAATTAAAGCAATTTAATATCTTATAGAAAATTTGATTTATGTTGGTATATCATATTTGTATATTTTATTGCCAGTATTTTTTTTCACAAAATGCAACAGCAAAACATGCATTTTTAAACCATTCTTTATGATTTATTTTAATAATTAGGGATGAATTTATATGGCTAAGTATATACTTATAATGTAGTCTATAGCTCAATCATAGCATAAGCTGGTGCTTTTTAAGTCAGAAATATATAATTATCATGTTTTTCAAGTTAAGTCTTAGGCCAGGAGACATGAGTTTTCTGAGAATGGGTGATAATGAATCATACATACTTGTTGTAATTTGTCTGTGGACCAGGCTGAGGAATTCTGAATGGTGTAAGTAGCCATCTACGAGATGGGTAGCCACTGTCACCCAACAAATGCGTTTGAAGAGGAATGTGACCATTTTCAAACAGGACTCGAAGCCCACTCTCATTTAGGATGCGAGTATCATGGGTCGAACCGGGCCATTTTGCAACAATGTCAATGAGTTTACATTGGGAATGAAACACAACTTGCACATTTAAACTGTGGTAATGATGTCTGTTGAAAAAATCATTCTCATTTTGTCTAGGTGCAATTATTTGAACATGGGTGCCATCGATGGCACCAACAATCCCAGGGAATCCTGCTATCTGAAAAAATCGTTCCTGGTTACGTCTGATTTCATCTGGTGATGTAGGGAAATTGATCAATCTTCGCACCATTCGTACGGATGACAAACTTTTTATGGTACAAGATATTGCTCTAGAGACAGAAGATTGGGAAACTCCCATATCATCCCCATTATAAAGTTGCATCTTTCCAGTAGCTAGGAATCTCAGGGTTAACAAAATCTTTTCTGTAGATGTTAGTGCATGATTCCGTACGGACGCGGACCTTATTTCATTGCCTATTAATCCTTCAATAAAGTTTATCCCACCAGAATCAAGTCTGAACCTTTTAACTCATATCTGAATATTCATTGAAATAATCTCTTATTTCCCTAAAATTCCTTCTTCGAGCAGCCATTTTGTTTAGATATAAGAGAAAACTTAAAAAATACTTATTTGCTTAAGAAATACTTACCTACTTAAGACACCTCCTAAGGACACTTAACTTTAAATCAGTACTTAAGCAGTAAGTATGTTTATGAATTACACTAAAGTATATTTCTACCACATTTAAGTAAAACTTAAGGAAATTAAGTAAATAAACATAGTTTAAGTGGTTTATTTAAACTTAAGAATAAACCAAAAAGTTTTATGAATCCCGCCCCTGGATAATATGGGGGAAAAAAAAGAGAAGTTTGCAACTTATTTTCAGCAATCTTTTTACATTTTTTAAAATTTAATGCAATATTTTCAAAAGAAAAAATGAGACAATCTTTTGACAAATAAAATGATGAATCAATAAAATGACCAAAGAAGTTATATGTAAACGTAAATATTTTGCAATTTCTACTATCGTTACAAGAAATCTATCACTGAGTCGAAATCTGACTCACGTTTTGATAAAAAAAAATAATGCCTTCAGTGCGAAACCGAATTTTCTAAAGTCTTTCTCGTTTGCAAAATCATGTTAAGGGCAAATGGCCTGTGTCAACTTTTAAGCGGGAAGGTCTACTTATTAATGTCATCTAACCCGTCTCTGAATGTTCTAGATGTCCGTGTTTGATGTTAAACTTCATGAATAATGTTTTCTTTCTTCATTCTTAATTTAATGTACTACTTCTCACATATATTTCAGGATATTTGAACTAAATTTGAATAGAGGGATTCTTTTTTCGTTTTTTTAAGAATATGTAAATTACCTACAATGAAGCTATTTTGAGAAGAAAAATATACTGCTTAAAATACATATAGCAGTCATTTAAAATTAATCCTTAAATGTGAAAATATTATTTAAAAAAAAGATATGTTTAATCTTCCTCACCCACTATAATTAAGTAAAACATTTAATTTAGTTTCTTCTGAGATACCATTATTTAAAAAAAAATCTTTAAAAAAATCCGAAAACTCAATTACATGTATTAGAAGTTGTTTCATCAGGATTTCTTCATAGAATGAATCTGTTTATTTTGATAAAAAATAGGACTCTAGGAAGTTACAAAGTGAATGAAAACTTCTGTTTTGAAAAGAAAACCGGTACATCTATTTTTCTTGAATTAAAATTGATTTTGCAGATAATAACAAGGTACTTCGTAGAAATAAGAGAAAAGTCACATCATTTGTAATAAAATTTGTACTTTTGATGTTGATGAAAAAATTAGGTGTTTCAATAGACACATTTAAATTTATAATGAAGCAAGAGGTTAATTTGTTTTTTAAAAAAAAATAATGAGTGATACGCGGATCAAAGGTTATTTTCAAAGAACACTTGAAAATAGCATCTACCCGTGCATGGCAAAGATATTCTTGAGAGGAGAAAAAGTACATCTGACGTGTGGAGGACTAAACTTAATTGAAAATCTCAAGGTCATTCAATTTTTCTTTGGTTTAAATTTCGATACAAAGACCTAGATGTCTTGATGAAAACTTTTTTTTGAGATTGACGATGGTTTGATGAAGAAGAAAACTCTGTTTCATCTAATCACACACTGAATCATTAAAGAAACTGAAAGGGGAAAAAATTCTGGAATACGGAGGACTACAATTACTTGAAAATCTCCAGGTCAGTTTATGACAATTCAAAACTTTTTTAAAATTTTTTTTTCACTAGCATATGAGCAATAGACTTCTGAAAACCACAGAATTCATTAATTGTACATAATAATCAAAGTTTCTTTCAATAGCAGTATCAAAAATGAACTATTTGAATTCTCTACCAGAAAAAAAATTCAACAAACATAGCTGTTTAAACTAAGCCCTGTTTCATCGTCCAAGCAATGTATACTTACGTTTAAATTCCCAACGTTTTACGTCCTTATATATTTTAAGCAACGAAATGTGTTTTCTGAAAATAATACTGGTAATTGAAATACGAAAATAATATCTTAAAATACAGCTGCTTTAATTGCAAAATATTTTTCCGAAATACACTGTGGTGCATGCAAAATTTAGTTGTTAAATGAGTGTTCATATGCTAAATTAAACCCATAATTCGGTAAGTATTTGTAATTTTTTAAAAGTATTTTTAAGAGGACTTATGAAGGCAGTCCAATCCTGTTATGTTTATCGGTTAAATTAAGTATTAGTATAACAGATCAATAATAAATCAAACTGATTAATATAATTAAGATATGTGGATATTCACAGAGGCATTTATCAAACAGAAGTATAAATGAATCATTACATTCCATTAAAAAAATATATATATATATATCCTTTTTTCAGGTTATCACATCAGCAATTATTTTTGTCTTCCTTTCTGGATTGATTCATCATCCCATTCAACAAGTATCTGGTCAGCAATCTCCAAGCATAACGTTTTCCTTGTCATCTCTTGAAAGAATTTCAAAAATGATCGCTGAAGCCAACAGATGTCCCACTAAAACCGGAAGTGGTCCCTGTGCTTGGGTATGGATACCGGATGTTGACGAGAACTGGATACCAAGAGTAATATATAAAGCACAGAACCTCAATAGGACAGAATGTGAATTGAAGAAAGATAGCGAATGTAGGCAAGAAAAGAAACGATACAATGTTATGCAGTTGGTACCAAAATGTGGTGGTAGGTATGATCTACGACCAGTTGTAAAGGAACTTCCCGTTGGTATTGTGTGTGATAGAAAAGCCACGGAATCTGTCGTTAATGGTGGACATACAGATTCAATTTCTTATTTCTTTGATCGATTTTTTTGGGGTATTTATCTTGTTTTGTTTGTATTTATCATGATTTTAAGAATCTATATGCTACGTTTTGAAAACTTTTCTACTAATAACTTCTAACAGATGGAATTAAAAAATCTTCATTTTCAAAGGTTATATATTGTTACAAAAAAAGAAAGAAAAGAAATCTTCGTCATTTGCACATTAAGCTTATGTAATAGATTGTATTTATGATAAATAAATATTTAGACATTTAACAAGGTGTTATAATAAAAGATATGATACCAAATGTGCATAAATATCTAATTCTTTTTGTTTTGTTTTATGATGTATAATTTAAAAATATTCTTTTGAATTTGTTGTGGAGGTTTTTTTTTTAAAATATATGTCAGATCTTGTTTTTCCCCCAACTATTTCATATCTATGTTTTTATTGTTTAATTTGAAAATTTTTTGAAAGCAAATAATATTCGTTTCAATTAAAGTAGCATATGATATTTTCGTAATAAATTCATTTGATGAGCTTATATTAGTACGTAGATATGATAATGGTTCGACACATTCATATGATTATTGTTATATCATGTATTTATCAAGTGAAGAAAAAATTAAATGTTAAAAGAAATTTAATGTGAAGCAAATAAACCAACTTTGAACAATCAAATGTCCACTCCTCCACTGACCTTATCTTCTAATGTTTTAGAAGTCCATGTTTGTTCTGCTCCTATTTTGTATTGTTTTACGGACTTTTGATCTTGAATATTGGTCGTTATCTATATATATTTCATTCAAAGAACTGTGGTCCACCGATCGGTGTCATAGCGGATGAGATGCAATTATTTATGACATATAATGTCAAATACGTATGCCCTTACCAAGGTTAGAGTTTTTTTGCGACAGACAGACAGAATTGCAGACTGACAGACAGACAGACTAATGAGATTTAATGTTTCATGGCTTTTGTGAAAGCGGGGGACAATAGAGGCATTTACAATGAACAAAAATGAGAATGATAATTTTTTGCACAATGTGAAACACTTTTTGTTCATAAATTTATTCTTTAATTTATCATGAAATTTCTTTATTGCCGAATAAGTATTGAAGCAAACAGGTCCAATCGTCAATTAAAATTGATTAGTATGTAATGCATGAATAACGTCCTATTTCACAGGTTTATACATCTAGTGAATATACATTTTGAATAAGATCTTGTACTTTACAATTATCAAATTATCTCATAAACGATACACGTTTGGGAGACAAATTGAAATGAGGTACATAGGACGTTCCTTTGGGCAATATGGTAAAGCAGATATTAAGAAGGAAAGTTCTTCACAATAATTGTCTATAGTCGGAATAAAGGTTAAATTTTCGATATGACCCTTCTGATTTCTATTATTAAACCGCTATTTTAAACAATATATATAGGAAAGAAAATGAATATTGTGAATTGATAAAACTTCCTTCGTTTAAAATGCACATGTGATTACGAAGAAAAAAAGTAATGCATGTACACATATAGTATATTTGGATCACATAAGACACACATTTATCTATTTAGATCAAAGGGGTGATGAAATTTTCACCTGATCAAAGTGTATTATTACATTTACAATCAGGGTCATTGCTTAATGGACACATAATAATTTCTGATTTTTTAAATCATTTTTTCCACCAAACTTTATTGTCCTTCCTTTCCACAAAAAATCTCATGTTTCATATTAAAACTCAACAATGTTTTTTATGTGCGGAACGATTTCAGAATTTTACATTTATGCATAACTGAAAATCAAAAAAAAAGAATAACCTGTTTACGTAATTCATTAAGTTTTAGACATGGATTGTTTTTGTTGTCTCATTTTTATTAAATTGAACTTTTTATTATTTATTATTAATTTATTATGAATAAACATATGTAACACAAAATATGTTTCAGTTGAAAAATCTCAATATTCTTGCTTAAATAGGTGATGTCTAACCACAGTGGTCGTATTTATGTTAGAGGTGATTATATGTTTTGTTATAAAATTATAAATGAAACTTTGAGGTCGTATTATATTTGGAGAAAATAATGAAAAATGAGATGTTTTAATACTGTAGTTTTTTTTTCAAAAATATATAGAAATATAAATATCCGTCTTTTTTTCTTGAAAAAAAAGAAATAAAATTAAATAAATTTTTTCATGTATTTTTATTATTGCAATGAAAAAATAAACCCAGGAAATTATCCACCGGAATCTAAACTTCCATTATTTTCTCCATCATGTCGAAGAAAAAATCAAATTGAAAACCTTGTTCAGAAATAAATTGTTTATAAAATGTTCCTTTCCAGGTTGATGATCCCTAAAGCGTCACGCCCAGCTTATATTTGTTGTTGGGAGTTTAAAGTATAGATTATTGTAATACAATATTGAACTGGATATCCCTTGTGTTTCATTCTGTGAAGGTATATTTACTATTCTAATCAAATTTAATCAATGTTCAATTTTATATGTATCAGGGCCAGGAAGCCTTCTTCACGTGAAATCCCCATGGAGAGAATGTCTGACGATCCTGACGACGTCCTGTATATTCGGAATACGAACCTTTAAGGGGGCTACTTCTACGTATAACATTGTAGGTCTTCAATGCAGGTTTTCGCTTTCCGAGATTGAATTTGGTGCTTTCTTTCTCCAGGTTCCCAACAATCACTTGCTGCAAAATTAATTTGTCTTTCGAAGTAAGTATGTTGCGTCTGCAAACGTTTTTAACAAATGTATCTAGATCCATGAACTGGAAACGGACTTGATACAAGGCATCTCCTATCTGATTTCTGATATTTTCATCCGACCTCTCATAACCTTTGAGCTCACACTGGCCTTCACCCCAACTTATCAGAAAATGATAAACTTTCAACTCCTCAATATCTAGGTTGTCTGAGGATAAAATTTCCATTAAGGTGTCCTTACTTATCTGTAAGGAAATCGGTAATTGTAAAATGATTGAGCACTTTTCATTTATAAATTCTATACATTTTTTAGTCAGACGTTCTAAGTGAAATAACTTGGCATTTTCCAAAAATGTACAAACAGTCTCCGTTGTTATGTTACTTTTTAAGTATGATATCGTCGCTTTTTTCAACGCCTCAATATCGTATTTCTCAGCAGCGTAGAGCGCTCCGATGGCAGTTTCTTTATTTACCTCTACTTCGCCACAATACACAAATCTGCAATTTAATGGGAAAGAAATGCTTGCATAAATACATTTTGATTTTAATAAAACAAAATGAAAATTTCAAATACATTTTGCAGTAATCATTAAACGGTGAATTTTAATCATCTTTGGCTTAAAGGAATCAATTTTGTTTTTGGTTGAGCTCATATGGGAAAGATACTTGCATATACTTTTAATCACAAAAGTCAAACATTTATTAGTGTAAGAGATAAAAGTCGATATAATTTTATTTCTAAATGCATTATGGTCTTGGTAATCTAGTTACATGTATTCATGACTTAAAACCTACTATATTGTAGGAGATATATTTCATAAATTGAACAAAAATCTTTTCCTAGCTACTAAACGAAATTTTATTTAGGTCAGTACAAGGTAAAACAAGATAAATGTGTTAAAAACGAACGATATTACTATAAAAAAGAGATGACGACGAAATGCTTATTAAAAGGCGTTTGCCATTCAATTTATCAATCAAAATCCATTGTGATAATGCTTTTACTAGGTTCAATGTCTGCGTAGGAGTGGCCTGACAGAAAAGGAGAAAGGTTGTTTAAATATCATTAAAATCAATAAGACGCACCACAGAAAAGGACAAATAAAAAACATTTTTATCTACCTGAGAAGAACATCAAACGAAGGTGGTTCAATGTCAGGAATTTTAATTTCCTTAGCTTCCGCCAGGTCACCATAAAACATGGCGTCAAACACGGGACTTCTGCTCGCTAGAACATACTTATGAGCGCGTACAAGCTTTTCTTCTTTTCCCACTCTAAATAATACGTCACAATGGATCTCGTTTTCAAGCATGTATCTGTTACAATCAGCAACACTGAGGCCAGAACGCCAGTTTTTCGAAGTCTTGACTTCTGTCATCTGCAAATAGCACAATAAATGATAACGATTTTTTTTTCAAATTTTAATTTAACCTTTTTATGGCATTTTTAAAACAATAAGGACATTTCGCTATAAATTAAAACCATTTTTATCATAAAATAAGATTTATTTAGACAAAATAAAAAATATTCAAACATGTGTCCCCACACTATTATATATTTCGTATGTATAATTTCAAGGTTCATTAATGCTCTTCATATATAATATAAACGATTTAAAAATATTAAGATTGTCTTTTAGCATTCCTTAGCATTGCTTAAGTTGAAAGCAAACTCTTCACTACACTATATTTATCTCAACTCATTCGATTTGAAAATAAACGTTCTTGGTATGTCTATTTTTAATAACTCAGTCCAGCACATTCAAATAAGTAGATGTTAAAGGGTTTATAACAATATTCTTCATTATGTGTATTTTGTTAATTAATTTGCGTTATAATGACCAAATTTGTATTTGATAATGACTTGACTGACATGTTTCAAACAATTTTATTGCAAGATTCGCAAGTGAGTTAAGGCTAATTATGGGTTTTCTATGCAAATGAGCTAGTAAAAATGCATAAATTGTGTATTTTATGTACAGAAAATGTTCAAATTGATTTTCGTATATATACTTAGTACCGACAGTATATTATTGCAAGTGCACATTATGACGTCATATTATGACGTCATAGTTCTTTCCCATTGAAGGCAATAAAACACATAAAAAAACAACGTCGGCGCAAGGGCATATCTTATTTAATTTAAAATAAATAATGTATAATGGTAAAGAGAATGTTCCTAAAAGTAATAAAATTGCTGCACAAATCCTATACTCTTCTTCAAACGATAAAAAATTTACTTATCTTACACTTGACTGCTCATTTTTACCCCGTTTCAACTTAGTACTGTAAGAAAAGTGACTTAACAATCGCAGTTTCGACATATGCGCAGCAATATCTTACATCCTTGGAATATTCTGCTTCCCTTTATACCTTGTTTCTGTAAAACAAAGTAATGTATGCCCTTGCGCCGAAGCGATTTTGTTGATATTTCTTATAAACTTGTGTAGTAAAGGTTGATGACGTCATAATATGACGTCATAATGTGTACAGGCTATAGCATATCGTGGGTACCAAGAATGTATAAGAAAACAAGTCTTAGCATTTTCTGTGCGTACTGTGAAGCAATTACAGGTTTTAACTAGATATTTTGCATTAAAAACACCATATGTAGCCTTAACTCACTTGCGTTGTGTTAGTGTTTTTTATACGATGACGGATTCAATACAGAGGGACATGGAAAAGCTTTCTTCACCAGTTTTTACCCTCCCTGTGTTCATGGTATGTGATTTTTTCAGGATCAAGAGTGATATTATTATTTAAAAATGATTTTACAACAAAAGGAGTATTGCTAAATTATTTTTATGCCCCCTTAAACGAAGTTTCGGGGATATAGTTTTTGTCGTGTCTGTCTGTCTGTTTGTATCTCTGTTTGTCTGTTTGTCCAAAAAAACTTTAACCTTGTCCATAACTTTTGATTTAGTGGAGCTTTGACTCTTCATTTTTCACATGTGTATTCCTTGAGACATGAACTTTCTTTGGGTAACAACAAAATTTGACCTTTTGACCTTGACCTTGGAATTTGATCCACTTTTACACAAAAAATTCAAAGTTTTACTTGGGCCATAACTTTTGAACAACAGAAACCAGGACATTTATACTTCACATATATATTCCTTGTGGCAAGACCTTTCACAGGAAACCACCAACCTGGACCGTTTGACCTAGGAGATTTACGTACTAATGAAAAAAACTTTAACATTGGAAATAACTTTTGAACGGTAAGAGCTAGAACTTCCATACATAACATAATTATGTAACCCTTGTAAGAAGATGCTTCAAAGGATACCAAGAGCTTTGTCCTTTTGACCTTGACCTTAGAGTTTGACCTACTTTCAAAAACAAACCTTGACCATATTTTTTAAAGGATAAGAGCTAATGCTTTCATACTTTACATATTTAATCCTCGTGACAAGACATTTCATTTGATATTGAGACCTTTGACCTTTTGACCTTGACCTTAGAGTTTGACCTACTTTTAAAAAATCTTAACCTTGGCCATAACTTTTGAACGGCTAGGGCTAGAGCTTCCATACTTCATATATGTATTTTTTGTAGCAAGAGCATTTATTAGATACCAATAACCTTGACCTTTTGACCTTGACCTTGGAGATTTCCGGACTTTTGAAAAAACATTAACCTTGGCAATAACGTTTGAAGAATAAAGGCTAGGGCTTTCATACTTCACATATGTAATTCGTGTGACAAGACCTTTCATCGAAGACCAATAACCTTGACCTTCTGACCTTGACCTTGGAGTTTAACGTACTATAAAATTTTTTTAACCTTGGCCAAAACTTTAAAATGGTTAGGGCTAGGGCTTCCATACTTCAAATATATGATCTTTGTGCAAAGATCTTTCATTGGATACCAATAACCTTGACCTTATGACCTTGATCTTGAGAATTTATGTACTTATGAAAAAACGTCAGCTTGGCCATTACTTGGGAACAGATAGGGCTTACAATACAATTGTTTTTCCAGTTAGGAGACCCCACTTTCGGTACCAATATATTAACTTTGCATCTAAGAAAAGTTTAATCTTCACTATGTTGCCATACGGGGGCATCAGTGTTTCACAAACACATCTTGTTCAATTAATTCCTTCATGTAATTATTCTAATGAATATACTAGTATTCAAATGATATTTTTATTACTATGTAAAGTTTTCGATCTACATGAAAACATTTTTCCCTATATAATTATCAATAAGAAATGATAGTTGTCGTCTTTCAAATATCTCTAATGGTTTCCGTAGTTAAAACATTGAATTAAAAACGAAAGTAAAAAAATAAGTAATGAAAAAAAAATGGAAAAAGTATTTACCAATACAAAAAGTAATATTCAATAACATGCATATTTTCACCCTAAAGATTAATGATACGTAACAGGAAGTAGGTTGCGCTTGCCTCTTAAAAAAATCATTTATAAACTTTTAATGAATTAAATTAAACTTGAAAATATTACAAAGGAACTGGGATAGATCATTTTCTATTTTCTCAACAAGTTGATATATCTCAATTGTGAAGCCAATGTTAAATAATCACTCTCATAAAAATACACAAAAAGTTTTGTTTAAAAGGCTTACCTTTCGTCCTTTGGCAAACAAATGCATGTAAACTACGGTTAAACATCCGGGTTATATAAGGTTAGTCGAGAGTTGCCGATCTTTTGATTCAGCATATTCATAAATTTAAACATTTATTTATTGAATCATGAATATAACATCTCTTATGCTTATAAAAATAACAAAATGGGATGACTTTTTATTTTTTTTTCATATTTAATTTAATTGATTTATTTAATAAATTTAAATGCCACTTTACAAGTGCTGACTTTCAGATATTGATTTTAAAACATCTGAATTGCGTTTTCTGAGTTTGAATTTTGTGTTTGTGGCGCATGTTATTTTTACATAGACGAAAATAATAATGTATACACTCTTAATAATAATTAATAATAAATCATGTTCAGGTATTTTAGTATCCGAAAATAAAACAAATTTCTTTATTCACATGTATATGTTTTTTGAATTTCTTTACTAAATAATCTCAAAATTGAACTCAATTATATACAACATGTTTGCATTCAAAACACTAACATTTACTGACATATGGGATCAGTATTTCAACCATAATTTCTTATATGTATATATAGAAAATGATTTTTGAAATTCCGACCCCCACCCCCACACATATCAGATAAGATCTTCGAGTTTTAGATAAGATGATTTTTTGGTCTCGAAGCCCCTTTCCCCGCCCACACTACTATTATGGTAAGCAAACAGGCAAAAGGATTACTTAGTATAATAAATTCTTAATGTATCACTGCAATACAAATCAAAAAATATAACACACAATGAACATAAAAAAATTGTATTTACATTGCACAGAATTTAATACTCTGGTAAATTATTGGATGCAAGTTTAAATATTGAGATGAATGCATGGATGGTTGGATAAATAAAATACATGTAATTACAAGAAGATAATTATGATAAATTATTAAAATAATTACAGAATTGAGGCCTAAATTCCAATTTGATGTAAATCAAAAAGTTAATTATAGAATCTGTGGCTGATTGATGAATTCATAATTTGCCAACACGGCAATGGTTAAAATGGACATTTTAAAATGAATATTTCACATAATTACGGATTTTTATTATGAAATTATGTTTAATCATGATCTTAGTGTTTTTAAAAAGATCTGGATCATATAGTGTTGAAAAGGATCTTTGCAAAGAATTCTCAGCACTCTTTTTACATTTTTAAATTCAATATTTTCAAAAAAAAAAAAAAAGAGACAACCGTAAGCTTTTGAAAAGAGGTTGATGAAATAAGGAAATGGCCAAAATCGTTAAAAGTCTTTACTTATATTTCGCTATTCTATGATCGATACAATAACTTGTGTTAAATAAGGAAAATATCTTATGTATCATTTAGTCGAAATTGACAGGCGTTTTAAAAAAAAAACATTATTGGGTCTTTAGTACAGAAATTTCAATTTTTTCTCGTTCGACAAATCATGTTAAGGGTAAGGCGCCGGTGTAAACGGTCAACCGGGGATGTCTACTCTTTAATGGCATCACATCCCGTCTCTGAATGTTCTAGAGGTCCGTGTTTGATGTTTAATTTCATAAATAAGTTTACTGTCTTTTCATTTGTTAAGATTTTTACTTAATATATCGGGGTATTTGAAATAAGTTGCAATATAAAGATTATTCTATCATTTGTTTGGTGTACATGTAAATTTCTTCATTGGTCTACTGTTGTAAGAAAAAATACTGCTTATAATTGCTTATAATTGGTAGCAATCATTTATAGTTTCAAATCAGTAAATCGGAAATAGTTATAATATTTAAAAAAGAAACCCACACACATTATTTAAATTAGAGTTTTCGACAGCCATTATTATTTCGTGAAACTTTTAAATGAGTTTTTTTTCTGACATACAATTATTCTTAAAAAAAGATCTAGATGTTTTTCCAAAGTTGTTATTTATACGTTGATCAGTACCTTATAACAAAGATTGAAAACGCCTGAACAAAATTATTATACCCCACCTTGAAAAGCGGGAGGGTATATAGTAATCGTTAATTCCGTCCGTCCGTCTGTACGTCCGTCCGTCTGTTACGCTTTGTGGTACCCATCTCTTATCCGCAACTCCTCTCATACCACTGAATGAAATTTGATGAAACTTTCATAGAATCTTTATTACATCTTGCCATTGTGACCTCCTATTTTACTTTTTGATCTGACACATATTTTGGGTTTTCCGGCCACAGCAAAACATGGACTTTGCCATTAAAACTATATGGAGGCGGGGGTATCATTTAGTGAGCTCATCGCTCACAGTACCTCTAGTTTCATTTATTTTCCAAAACCCCAATTATTTGAAGTTGTTTGAATTCGTATTATTTTTTTCCTTGAAACAATCTGTAAAAGTTGATCTATAAAAAGAAACTAGGACGCCCGGAAGCATTTACAAACTAAATAAAAACTTCTGTTTGAAAAAGAAAAGTGGTAATTCTATTTATCTTGAATGAATGTCGATAATGTAGGATACTATGATAAAATAAAGGAAAAGTAAAAAAAAATTGCAACAAAGAAATTTTATGGTCGATGAAAAGAGTGTGCCTTTTTGAATATACGTATATATATTTAAATGTTATATTAAAGATATATCTCCATAAGCATTACATTTTTCTTAGGTCACTATGGTATATTTACATGTACATCCACTGACTATTTCTCCTTTATTATACCACCCGTTTGGAAAGTGGGAGGATATATAGTAATCGGTATTTCCGTCCGTCCGTCCGTCTGTTACGCTTTGGGGTACATATCTCCTATCCGCAACTCCTCACATACCACTGAAGGAAATTTAATGAAACTTTCACAGATTCTTAATTAAATATTGTCATTGTGCTCCTCATATTTTACTTTTTTATCTGACATATATTTTTGATTTCTCAGAGCAAAACATGGACACTGCCATTATATTCATATGGGAGGCGGGGGTATAATTTAGTGAGCTCATTGCTCACAGTACCTCCAGTTTCTTATGAAGACCATTATCATTAATCAGTGGACTACCGATACTTAGCAGCCACATGCATAGATTTCTTGAAAAATGTTTGTTCAATTTTTTGCATACAGTGACGTATTCATTTATAATACAATTTTTAATTTTACTTTGAAGGTCTATTCATACAGATGTAAAAATGAACAATCAAATGTCATTCTTTGTTTGTTAGCACGGAAAGTAACTTCGAAGCTATTGCATAAAAAAATTACAAAACCCCCTTACGAGGATTATGATTTCTTTTGCATCCACTGCGGCAATAAACCCTTTACTAGTAACCAAAGAACGGATTTTATTATTTAAACAACTTAAGCAATATTGAGTGGAATTTCATTGTGTTGAAAAAGTTGTAAGAAATTCATTTTGGTTAAAAGATTGACTTGATTATATGGAATAAAGTCATTTCTATGTACAAAAAAAAATTTAAAATATTAACAACCAGTTAGCATTTACTTATTTCATTTTAATGTTGCGAATGCAAGATGAGATCATTCCATGCTTACATTCTTTAATGAAACTTATCGATCGCATCTTTTGCAAATAGCAGTTAGCAATATCATAACTATCTCTTAAAGAAAAAAAAGAAACAAATTGAAATGAGGTACATGAGACATTTCATGAGGCAATATAGTAACGCATATTAAGGAAAAAGTTTCATTATAATTATTGTCCATAGTCGTCATATTGGTAACATTCTCAATATGACCCTTCTTGATTTCTATTATTAAAGCGACCTCTCGTATATCACTTCATGGTATACGTTTTTCAAAGTCCATTTTGGCCTTTGAAAAAATATTTTGCATAAATGCATAATTCGGATGCTTAAAGTTCCATAATACTTGCTACTTATAAGATACTTTAGAATTGTGAATATCATGGAAACTATTTCACATGAGAAGTACAATAGAGAAAATGTCTGAATGAAGAAACCCTGGAAGGATTTAAAAAAAAATTTCTTTATT